GACTGAGTCGTAAAACCTACGCATTGCTTAAGGCCAAACATTGTGTGGTACGATCTAAGTGTGAGTACTGTGCTTGAGTGTGTGTATGTATGTCTTTGAGACACACAAATTGTCGCCAATGTTGCGATTGCGGCAGTTGTTGACCTTCGCAACGTTGAGTCATGCATTTTTTTCTGTGCGTAACTGCTGCGCCGGACAACAACTCAAGCCGGAGCTTTGTTTCAGCAACATTTTCAGATTTCACGGATAAACATTCAATCAGATTTCATTCTTTAGAAAATATGAAATTAATGTTTGGCCTAACCCATATTTCCAATAATAATTTATAGACATAATTAATCACGCTATCGCGTTATTTATCTCAATATAATTATTTCGTAAGCATTTCGACAATGGTTTAGCGGTCACTGAACTGAGTTGATGGTCAATTCAATCTATTTGAGCGACTCTAAGCTCTGTACTTATTTTGCGCCATCAAATTCATTTAATGCATAATAACCTCAAAGACCCATAATACGCACAGGAATATATATGCCTGGCATCCGTATTTTGATTTGATTCTACTTTGGCAGGTAGATGTGTTTTTTTTCAATCCAGATCAAAGGTACATGATTTTTCATAAGGCGATGTAGCTGAACTAAATCAAAAAGTTATTGATTTATGCAAAAGTGTAATCAATAACTCAATGTATAATTATGTGAAAAATATAAATCTTCCATTCGCTAAGTGCTTGCACATTATTTAACCCCTTTTCGCATTTATTTTACGTAATGAAATAATTTCCTACAGTCTAAAAGCTAATTTATAAATTACTTATTATTTTGATGGCTGTAAATCCTAAAATTGTTAATAGACTTCGTAGAAATTCCGATCGAATTCTCACACTATCCAGGAGCGGTTGACTCTTATTTATCCCAAGCAATTATATCTGTTAACTATTATGACTACAGCAAACACCTGTCAATGCTCATTAAAGTGCAGTCGGGTTAATTAGCGAGAAGCGTCAACTGTAGATGTTGATGCTCTTCACTAGTATCATTTACTTACTGCTGCTACTGGCCATTGGCCAAGCAGCAACCCTCAGCCTCCAGGTTGCAGCGGGGAATTCGATTAGACTGACATAGGGAGAAACAGAGGCAGGCAAATGTAATTTAATAAATGCGGTTTTCTGCCAACCTCTAAACCTGTTGATTAGCATGTGCGGTTTTAGTAATTTACGGCCAGCTCACAGGATATGACCGACGGGCAACAGGAAGTTGCCGTGAGTCTCAACAAACTCACACGTGGGGGCATGCAAATTGCTTTATGCGGTGGCAATTTCCAGCGTGGCGACTGTCGTTGTAATTTAATTTTAAATTGCTGATATACGCACCCAGGCGATTAACTAGATTATTTTAAATGAAGTAATTAGGCAATCCAAGTGCCGCTTTGACAGGCGCGAACAAAAGACTTTGGTAACGAACATGCCGCCCGCGCCCCCCGTTGCAAGTTGCAATTGCTGCAGGGTTTTTTTTTCGGTTTTCCTTTTTTTTTTTTTTTTTGGTTTTTGTATTTGAAAGTTAAATGGCGCCGTTAATTGTGCGCCAATCTTAACTGTCTGGACGGGTTTTTATTTTTGGTGTTTTGGCTTTATAGTTGCAGCGAAACTTGTTGCAAATTGTAATATAAAAGTTCCCCATTGGATTTTTTCGTTCGTCTGTGTAGCCTGTTTGCTGCTTGTGGCACTAATATGAGTCATAAATTTAAAGGTTTGTTGTGGCTTGCTTAAAATTAAATAAATAAACGGCATTACAGCAAGTTATATGCAGGCGTTGTTTTGGCTCAGGGTCTCACACCGGCATAAACTTAAGAGAAGAAAAAAAAAACAACAACAAAAATCTCGTTGGCGTTTCTACAGATCTGAAACTGTAACTGAAACTGGGCTGGGCCAAAGTCGTCTGGTTACTTTTGCATTTGTTTCACTGTTTCTCAGATTGCATGATTTTGCATAAAACATACAACTTTGTCTGTCCTTTCATCCATTTTGTTCGCATTATTGCTAAAATTTTTGGGGCTTGCAACTGGCAGATGCAGACAACAGGCAACGGGCTAACAAAACTTAATTTTTGGCAATTCCTTTTTAGACATGACATCATTTCGAGACCCTACAAAAAAAAAAAAAAAAAACAAAACCAGAAAAAAACTGGTCGCTGTTTTACTTTCGCTTTTGTTGCTTTTTGGCGCATACATATTTCTTTTCTGCAAATCTGCTGATGCTGGTTTATTTCAGTTGTTGTATGTTGTTATTGTGTTATGTCTGTGGTTGGCAGCGCCGGACAGCTCGCTGAAAGCCCAAACATTTTTTTGAGTCCACCACTCGTTCACTACATACACCACAAATAAGGCATTGAAAACGAAACCATGTTCTGGTGAAAGTAGGTTGCCCTCCTGTCCAGAAATCGAAAACGCATAACAAGTGCAAGTCAGACACGAAGCACACTTCAAGTGTCTTCAGTTTGGAACGATTGTGTCATGTGGCAAAGCCCACGCAACAAAATCTTTGCCAATCAGCAAAACGCCCACCGTATACCAATTTAGCCAAAACTACTCTTAAAAGTCGCCTTCAGCCTTGCCCGACTCTGACTAATGATGATGCGACTGCCGCGACTGCGACTGATGCTGCTGTTAGATGAAACTGTGTCTACTCTACTCCAACAATAATCTGACGCGATCGTTGATTTGCTGGTGGTGGGCGCGAACACACATTGACTTTTTTGGCCGTACACAATTTATGAGAATTCTGGCCGTAAAAGAAGAGCTTGCAAAAAACCACCAACAAAAAAAAAATCGATTTGGTTTTTCTGCAAAATTTATTAGAATCTGAAGCTGCTGCGGTTTTTTGTACGACTTTTTGCGCTGGTAGTGGGAACGGCCTTGATCCGCAGCCACCAAAAGTTCAACAGACTATGTGGGCTGCGTAGAACAAGTTGAGGTGGCCAAAGTTGGCTTATGAGTCAGTACGAAGACATTTTGAAGTCTTAATTGGATTAGTTTGAACTTTGTAGATCTTTTAACTTGAGCTTCTGGCGTTTTTTGCCAAAGCCTTTTGGTTTTCTGGAAGTTGCCAATTTTTTTTTAACTTTTCAGTTTCGAGTTGTAAGGCAATGCACAAGTTTGCTGCTTAAGTCTTTCATATGCAGTTGTTTTTTTTTTATCATATTCTGTAATGAGAATCTTGTTAAAACAATTTTTCTTTAGTATGATAGGCATAACCTTTAAGCATGAAATAATTTTATTTTAGAATTAAGATGGCTTAACGAAATACCAAATTCTCCACATAAATCGAATTCTGTTATATTTCAAGATTCAATTGTAGCTAATTTAAAATTAGTTTGCATTTGGTTAAGACAACCGGAAATTATAACAAAGTTGTGACTTATAGAAAAGTTGCCAGTAAATTGACTAACGCCAAGATCGTGAAACTCATCGAAAAAACCAGAAATCGGCAGCAATTTCTACACAGTGATGAGCAGAGTCGCTAATCTTGTTATCGACTCATTTCACAAGTTGATTTTGTTGCTGAAATCGGCTTGCATTTATGAGCTCTCAACATTGTTGTGCAGTCTTTCTCGTACTTAAGTATAAGGTGCATGCCAAGCTCTCCGACTTTTTGACTCATTTAATAGCTGCAATTTCATCCCACGCAGCTTGAGGAGGGGTGGAATTGAGCCAGGCTCATAATTTATGGTCATTAATATTGTAATTTCTTTCTGAGTTGCGGGATTGCGTTGAGCCGAAACTCGCACGCAAAACAATCATACATAAAGTGAAAGTTTTGCACCTTCGCAACAATTTAAACAGCTGTACAAAACAAAACAAAGCAGCCAAAGCGAGTCAGTTAGTTTGTCAGTCATTTGGTTGGCTGCATCTTCCCGCCGTAGCCCACAGATGGGCCACGAACTTGTGAAAACGGCCAAGGAAAACCAAAATCACAACACACAACTACAAAGATTACTGAACAATGAAATTTTACAAATGACTAGCAACAAGTCCAAACTGGCGCCGACTGACAAATGAGCACAAGTTGCAGCCTACAGCAAGCAGTAGCATGTTTTTTTTTGTTAGCTATTTTGCATTTGACAGAAAACTGCTAAGTAATATAAAGCGAAACAGAAAAGCAGAGACAAACTCGAAACTTCATCAATACAATTTGCCAAAGTCGTGGGTACTAAAAAATTTCGCCAATGTGCGTCTTTAAGCCACAAACTTGATTTTTCAATCGCAATCAGCAATTTGCAGACACAATCCACAAAATCCACATTAAACAATGCCGCACCATTCAACGACTTTGATGAGGCAGTTTGACCTTAACGCAAAGCTTTGGTTTTGGTCACTTGTCAAATTTATTTGTGTATTTTTGTTTTTTCTTTCGTCATTTGTTGGGCAAATATTTTGAATTTCTTTTTTGGTGACAGCTTGCGAAGTGTGTCAAGCAAGCATTTCGAGCAATTATTTGTCATATTTTCCCTATTTGTGCGAGGCAGAGAAAACAAATAACATTAGTGACAAGGCAACTATACATCATCTTCATCTCCATCCTCATCTTCATCTATGTCCCACAATAACAGTTGACCCAGGGAAGGGAGATTTGCACAAATGAAAGTGAATGGTGTGCTTTTTGTGTGTTTTTGTTGGAGATTTCAATTTTGACAACGACTGTTTCTCATTTAAATCAAATGTTGTTTTCTGTTTTTTATGCAAAGTAAATGATCTCACAGATTTCTAATAGAAATAATATGTTGCTGCGAACTTCATTATCATTTGAAAGAGTGAGTATAATAACTAGTTAGGTGGTTGATTGTCAACAAAATTTTAATATATAATTTAATCAAGTTTGCCTACACTTTTCTTGATAATTCAACAAATGTTATTAATTTCGTATGAAAAATATATCAATTTGAAAATTTTCTTAGCGTCACTGAAATGTTACACCATGGTAAAAGTAAAAAACATTTGCTCACCATTTTCTTCATCAAAATTCGGTTAAAATCAGTTCATACTGCCAACAGCTGCCAACGAAAAACAACGCCAGCAAAATTATGTTTTCAGCCTTTGGTTTTGACTGCTGCACAGCACTCAGGCACTGGTGCGCACACACATATACACACACACACACGGAGTTATGCACAGACACTTTCGGATTTTTTTTATTGGTTAAAATATTAAAGAAATATTGACGCTTTTCTTTTAACACTTGACTGCTGCTGATGAATTGCTGACTGCGCGCGACGCGTTGCGTTTGATGTTTTTTTTTCTCAATTTTCACTTGTAAAATTTGAAAAATTTATTTTTGCGTACGCCTCACACAAACTTTCACTATTAATAAAACGGTGCAGATTTTAAGAAAAACAAATTAATTTGCTTCGGATGTATGGCTGCCAGATGCTGGCCAACTGCAGACCTCAGAGACCCGCACACTGTTCAGCTATTGATCGAGAAGTTGAGAGCCACTTGAATGTATGAATGAGAGAGAAAGAACCGCACCGCACGCGCGCTAAAAACGAACTGAAACTCAATTTGAATTCGCCTTCAGCTTGGAGCTAGCACTGTGACTGAAACTAAAGCTGAAACTGAAGCTTCAGCAGCAGCTCACGATCCCGAAGCGTTGACGACGTCGTCTTTGACGACCAGTGGAGACTTAAGACTAGTGTTCATGTTCGTGTTGGTGTTCGTGCTATTCACTGTTGGTTGTTAGGCAACTTTGCTGCCCACACGCTGCGCTGCTGTGCTGCTAACTGCGCTGCTGTTCTGCCAGCTGCGCTGCTGCTGTGGCTCCGCATGGTCCATTTTTGGCTTGGACTGCTCAACGGCAAAAAAAAAAAAAATAAATAAAAAAAAAACCAGGCAATATTTTTCTTCTTTTTTTCCACATTTTGTTGTATGGACGCCTTTGCAGAAAATATTTTTTCTTAGCTTTAGCTTTGATATTTGCTGGCTGCTAGTTGATGGCTGCTGGTTTGCCAGTTGCTTTGACTTTTTGATTGACGTAATTTTTGCGCTTGATATTCAGTTGAATTTCTTGTATTTCCACATTTAACTGTTTTGGTGTCAGGCGTACATTACACGCCCACAACACCCACACATACACACATATCGATATCGTTTCGTGGGCGTTTTGAATTTTTTTTATTACACACTAAAGTTTCATTAAGTTTCTCAAGCTTTTTGATGAACTTTCGCTGCCCGGCACCGAGCGCTGCGAGTGGGGCATATTATGGTCATATCCATCTATATAGGCGTTAGCTTTGACTCATTCATTTGCCTGGGTTGGCTATGGTAATTGGGCCCCTTAAACTTTGCTCTTTAGGCGAGTGCTCTTTGAGTAAGTCTTAAAAAAAAGCAGAAAACTTAGACAACGAACTTGCTTATGCAGCTGGTGGTGACCTTGTGCGTGGGTGCCCAACTATTTTGAGTTATAAAGGTTACTCCATCCGGTTACAACAAATTGTCGCAACGCCTTATTAACTGGCTATCGTTTTATGTACTTCATGGCCAGACTTGAGTCTTGCCAATTTCATAAAGTTTTTTTTTTAAATTTTGTAATGAAGTAATTTCCGCATACACCCCAAAAATTGCAACTGATAAGAGTCTTCACTGCCAGCAGGGCCATCTTACGGTAACTTCTTGGTGCCTTTTTCCCTTCCCTCTACCTATAGCTTTTTTAATGTTTTGTCTGCACATTAATTTGTGCGCGCAAAACGTGTGGCACATACAAAGTACCTGTGAGGTGAGTGTATTCCGTGTATTCGTAACTAAAATGCACTTGGGCAATGCGAGGGTTACTCGATAAGCTACTCTATTCTCTACTTGAAGTCTTTTAATTAGCTAGCGAATTATTTTGAATAGTGGCAGGTGGAATTGTATGTGGTCTTTGACATAATAGAAACTGCCACTTAAACTGTAAACTGCGATCTTAATAAGTAACATAATCTCGCCAAAATGTTCTAATTAATAATATACTTATATAATTAACATACTCAATGAGTAGAAAATTAAAAAACATTTTAAAATTCCAACTACAGCAACTGCTGCAGCTACAACATCTGTTAACAACAGACAGAAACAAGTGCAAAAACTAATTTCATGCAGCAAAAAAAAAAGAAAAAACTACAAACAAGAGAAATCCCACACGCGTCGTCCTACACTTGGCATATTTAACACATTTTATGAAAAATCAACAAAACATCATGATATATTTATGACGGTAAAGCGCCTCCGATCTTCGAGCACTGGTCTAAAACTCAACTTCTCTGCTAGTCAATGCCAGCCGCTGGCGCCAGCCTCTTGTTGTCTTTATTAAGTTGTTGTTGTTGCTGCTGTTCGGCCCTTAATTGTTGCTTTTGTCTGTTTTTATTAATAAGTCATATTTTTATATACTATGAATACTCGCTGCTGGTGGAGCCGCCGCCTTCAGGCGCACATAATTTATGTAGTTTGCCCTAGCAAATAAGGCAGAAAGAGAAGCAGCAGAAGTTGAGGCTGGATGACAAAAGTTGAAGTTGGCGTTGTATGATGAGCATAAGCATGGACAAGGCCGGCCCCACATACTGACGCTCATTCATTCCCTCATATTCACTGATTCACTGCGCTCATTCATAAAAGCAAAAGCAAAAGCTCTTTTTGATTAATTAAATGCAGCGACTGTGCGCTTTTTTCAACACTGTTGTTGTAGTTGTTGCTGGTGTTGCAGCTGCGAAAAGTGTGCCAGCAAGTTGTGAGCTGCTTGTGATGTAAGTTGTTGTTTTATTTTTTATGATTATTTCGATTTTTTATTGCTTTATTAGCATTACACTATGGCAAAACACTGAGCGCATTTTGGAACATGTTGAAGGCGGGGCGAAAGGAAAGTTTGTTGCTTAAGTCTTTTGTGTGCACTTTGCACCTACCAATGCTGTTGCTGCTATTATTGCACTAGAAAACAACTCAAACGTGGCTGATGTTGCTGCCAATTTGCAATTTACTAATCACCGAAAAAATGTAAAAGCTCTGCCCCAATTCGCAAATTTAAATTGCTAGAAAATCGACGCAGTCATTTGCAAAAATTCGCAAAATAAAAATAGATAAATTCGCATAACGACAGCTAAACAGCAAATAGTTTATCCATGCATTACGTAAGCGCGTAGCATTTTCAGCTGTTGGGTTTTCTGTTTATTTTTTGTCTATGACAAATTGCATGGCGTCAACAAATTAAACAAATAACTATAGAAATTGCTGCTAATTTTGATGAGTTTTGCATACAAATACAATAATCCCAACACTTAGCACACACCAACACACACACTCAAGAAACCCGACAACAGCTGGGCAAATGTGAATTGTATATATAATTTGTAGAGACGAGGGCAACTCTGAGGGCGGCTGGGAAAACAAACCGCTTCTCAAAAACTTTGTACGAGGTGCACACAACGCGACGTGCCGGCTAAGACTGATTGAGCGAACTGTCTACGCTCCGCGTTGCAACTCAGCGTTTTGGCCAAGTCGCTAGTCAAACAGCTGACGGCAACAGTTGGCCCCCCACCCTTGGTGAGCTCTCTAATGTGCAAACATACAAAGGAAAACTTGTTTCGTTTTAAAGTCTCTGGGTATTTGAAAATCAGTTGTTGCTAGCGTGTATAACAGTTGTGCACGAACTGTACTACGAGAGATGCGAAAGAGAGAGAGAGAGAGTGGGCAAAGTGAGAGGTTGCCGCAGTTGTCGATAGGTAATTTGTATTTTGTTATTGTGTTTGTCAAGTCAACTGATAAATTGAGTTGATATTGAAAATAAATTAATTATGGCCTCTTAATTTGGAACAGTGACAAGATTCGAGATTTTGCGAAAACGAATGGTTTTTTTTATAGAAGAAGATTAAAAAATATTAACTCGATTTATTTTTGCCTTTCAGCAAACAAGTTCTATAATAAAATCACATGATCATAAATTGTTCAAATGTCATAAAATAAATGAATTTAGAATTGCAAGACTTGTTTTGCATTCAATCAAGGTAATCTATTTTTGTTGCTAATCTTTAGAACGATCTTTGGCACTGGCAGACAAATGATTTTGTGTCGCTTGAAAAATGTATTTTTCTTTTATACTATTCTGATTGCAATCTATATAAAACAGTTAGCATACACAAAAGTAGGTAAACGTTGCAAAAAAAAAAAAAAAAAACAGTTAGAAGAGATGGGTGTTAAACGCGATGATAAGATGATCTTTTGGTCCATTGATGTGTTTTCTTTTTCTGTGGCCATAGAATGTTTAGAAAGAAAGTAACAAACAAAAGATGTCATTTATATGGGAATTGAATCTTACAGAGAAACAATTATAAAACTTACTTAGTTTATATTAAGGCAAGAATTTCATGTAAATTTTTACTGGTCGTTGAGACTATTTGTTATGTTAGGGTGTGGTATAAGTGTAGTTCACAGCCATAACAGTATTTATTGTAAGTATAAATCTGAAATAGGCCTGCATATTCGATTAAGCCTTTTCTAGGCAAATGATACTATAGAAGATATTTTATTCTAGGCAAGAACATTCGACTAATGCATTTATCTTTGTAAGTTTCGAATGCGTTGGGCTTAAATTGGTTTAAGTGTGGTTCGCAACATGGACTAAAGACTGTAGTTAAATCACATTGAATAGTACTAACTTAATCAAGAAGCAATCCTATACAGCCAGATTATACCAAACCTTAATAACTGTCTAGAATATGGTTTTTTAATTAAGTATATTTACTTTTAAACGTGTATCTTTTAATTTGCTGCCAAGTCTAAAATTACATAAAATGAAATTTCCAATTGAATTGAAGTCGAAAACTGAAATGTGCCACGGACTCAACTCACTCATTGCAAGTGGCCGCTCACGTTTCGATCTTATGAGGAGGAAAGCGATCTTTGATATATCTTTAAGATATGTTGGACTGTAATTTTGGTGCAGTCAGTACATTTAATTTATGCTGTTGATTTGAGTTGAAAGTCACGTCGTTCCGCGGCTGGTTGTTGCCACGTAGGCATCGTAAAATGTTAATACTAACTGTTTATTTATGCTACGTTTAGCCCAAAACATTTTGTTGCAGTTTGCTTTTTGGTCGTGGAGACGTTACACTATTTGTTGGCAAGTTGGCTAAATATATACAAGCCTCGCTTGCATAATTGGCCAGGCTAAGGCACATACGTACTCGTTGTATGATTTATGTTTTTGTTTTGTTGCTGTTGTATTTGTGCTGGCCGCAATTATATAAGCGCCTTTGCGAGGCGCGTGCTGACCTAAAAAACAACTTAAGCTACGCTAGTTGACGCCAACGCAGCAGCGGCAGATGCGGCAAACGGCGACAGCCAGTTGCTGCCAGTGGCATAAACAAGTTGGCTTGACAGCTAAATGCAGTTAGACATTAGATGGCCATGTGATGAGCCTCTGAGCCTGAACCGCACCTGCCCACCTCTCCCCGAGCGCCTCCACGCTTGGCGGCTTTGC